CTGTAATTTTCTTTTTTTGTAGTATCTTTGTCGGGTTTTGGTATCAGGGTGATGGTGGCCTCACAGAATGAGTTTGGGAGTGTTCCTTCCTCTGCAATTTTTTTGGAAGAGTTTGAGAAGGATGGGTGTCAGCTCTTCTCTAAATGTTTGATAGAATTCATCTGCAAAGCCATCTGGTCCGGACTTTTGTTTGTTGGAAGATTTTTAATCACAGTTTCAATTTCATTACTTATGACTGGTCTGTTCATATTTTCTATTTCTTCCTGGTTCAGTCTTGGAAGGTTATACCTTTCTAGGAATTTGTCCATTTCTTCCAGGTTGTCCATTTTATTGGCATAGAGTTGCTTGTAGTAGTCTCTTAGGATGCTCTGTATTTCTGAGGTGTCTGTTGTAATTTCTTTTTCATTTCTAATTTTATCGATTTGAGTCCTCTCCCTCTTTTTCTTGATCAGTGTGGCTAATGGTTGATCAATTTTGTTTATCTTCTCAAAGATCCAGCTTTCAGTTTTATTGATCTTTGCTACTGTTTTCTTTGTTTCTATTTCATTTATTTCTGCTCTGATCTTTATGATTTCTTTCCTTCTGCTAACTTTGGTTTTTGTTCTTCTTCCTCAAGTTCCTTTAGGTGTAAGGTTAGACTGTTTTTTTGAGATTTTTCTTGTTTCTTGAGGTAGGCTTGTATAGCTATAAACTTCTTTCTTAGAACTGCTTTTGCTGCATCCCATAGGTTTTGGATCGTCGTGTTTTCATTGTCATTTGTCTCTAGGTATTTTTTGATTTCCTCTTTGATTTCTTCAGTGATCTCTTGGTTATTTAGTAACATTGTTTAGCCTCCATGTGTCTGTGTTTTTTACGTTTTTTTCCCTGTTCTAATCTCATAGCATTGTGGTCCAAAACGATGCTTGATAGGATTTAATTTTCTTAAATTTACTGAGGCTTGATTTGTAACCCAAGATGTGATCTATCCTGCAGAATGTTCCGTGCGCACTTGAGAAGAAAGTGTAATCTGCTGTTTTTGGATGGAATGTCCTATAAATATCAATTAAATTTATCTGGTCTGTTGTGTCATTTAAAGCTTCTGTTTCCTTATTTATTTTCATTTTGGATGATCTGTCCATTGGTGTAAGTGACGTGTTAAAGTTCCCCACTATTATTGTGTTACTGTCGATTTCCTCTTTTATAGCTGTTAGCAGTTGCCTTATGTATTGAGGTGCTCCTATGTTGGGTGCATATATATTTATAATTGTTATGTCTTCTTCCTGGATTGATCCCTTGATCATTATGTAGTGTCCTTCCTTGTCTCTAACATTAACACTCTTTATTTTAAAGTCTATTTTATCTGATATGAGTACTGCTACTCCAGCTTTCTTCTGATTTCCATTTGCACGGAATATCTTTTTCCATCTCCTCACTTTCAGTCTGTATGTGCCCTTAGGTCTGAAGTGGGTCTCTTGTAGACAGCATATAGATGGGTCTTGTTTTTGTATCCATTCAGCAAGCCTCTGTCTTTTGGTTGGAGCATTTAATCGATTTATGTTTTTTTTTTTGTTTTTTGTTTTGCGGTATGTAGGCCTCTCACTGTTATGGCCTCTCCCGTTGAGGAGCACAGGCTCTGGACGCGCAGGCTCAGCGGCCGTGGCTCACCGGCCTAGCTGCTCCGTGGCATGTGGGATCTTCTCGGACCAGGGCACGAACCCGTGTCCCCTGCATTGGCAGGCGGACTCTCAACCACTGTGCCACCAGGGAAGCCCTAATCCATTCATGTTTAAGCTAATTATTGATATGTATGTTCCTATGACCATTTTCTTAATTGTTTTGGGTTCGTTTTTGTAGGTCCTTTTCTTCTCTTGTGTTTCCCACTCAGAGAAGTTCCTTTAGTATTTGTGGTAGAGCTGGTTTAGTGGGGCTGAATTCTCTTAGCTTTTGCTTGTCTGTAAAGCTGTTGATTTCTCCATCGAATCTGAATAAGGTCCTTGCTGGGTAGAGTAATCTTGGTTGTAGGTTCTTCCCTTTCATCACTTTAAGTATATCATGCCACTCCCTTCTGGCCTGTAGAGTTTCTGCTGAGAAATCAGCTGTTAACCTTATGCTAGCTCCCTTGTATGTTATCTGTCATTTTTACCTTGCTGCTTTCAATAATTTTTCTTTGTGTTTAATTTTTGCCAATTTGATTACTATGTGTCTCGGTGTGTTTCTCCTTGGGTTTATCCTGTATGGGACTTGCTGCACTTCCTGGACTTGGGTGGCTATTTCCTTTCCCATGTTAGGGAAGTTTTCAACAATAATCTCTTCAAATTTTTTCTGTGGTCCTTTCTGTCTGTCTTCTCCTTCTGGGACCCCTATAATGCGAACGCTGTTGCGTTTAACGTTGTCTCAGAGGCCTCTTAGGCTGTCTTCATTTCTTTTCATTCTTTTTTCTGTATTCTGTTCTGCAGCAGTGAATTCCACCATTCTGTCTTCCAGGTCAGTTATCCTTTATTCTTCCTCAGGTATTCTGGTATTGATTCCTTCTAGTGTAGTTTTCATTTCAGTTATTGTATTGTTCATCTCTGTTTGTTTGTTCTTTAATTCTCCTAGGTCTTTGTTAAACATTTCTTGCATCTTCTCAATATTTGCCTCCATTCTTTTTCCAAGGTCCTGGATCATCTTCACTATCATTATTCTGAATTCTTTTTCTGGAAAGTTGCCTATCTCCACTTCATTTAGTTGTTTTTCTGGGGTTTTATCTTGTTCCTTCATCTGGTACAGAGCCCTCTGCCTCTTCACCTTGCCTATCTTTCTGTGAATGTGGTTTTTGTTCCACAGGCTGCAGGATTGTTGTTCTTCTTGCCTTTGTCGTGTGCCCTCTGGCGGATGAGGCTATCTAAGAGGCTTGTACAAGTTTCCTGATGCGAGGGACTGGTGATGGGTAGAGCTGACTGTTGCTCTGGTCAGCAGAGCTGAGTAAAACTTTAATCCGCTTGACTGGTGATGGCTGGGGCCGGGTTCCCTCCCTGTTGGTTGTTTGGCTTGAGGCAACCCAACACTGGAGCCTACCTAGGCTCTTTGGTGGGGCTAATGGCAGACTCTGGGAGGGCTCACACTCAGAACTTCTGCTGCTAGTGTCCTTGTTCCCACAGTGAGCCACAGCCACCCCCCGCCTCTGCTGGAGACGCTCCAACCCTAGCAGGTTGGTCTGGTTCAGTCTCCTATGGGGTCACTGCTGCTTCCCCTGGGTCCCGATGTGCACACTACTTTGTGTGTGCCCTCCAAGAGTGGAGTCTCTGTTTCCCCCAGTCCTGTCAAAGTCCTGCAATCAAATCCCACTGGACTTCAAAGTCTGATTCTCTAGGAATTCCTCCTTCCGTTGCCGGACTCCCAGTTGGGAAGCCTGACGTGGGGCTCAGAACCTTCACTCCAGTGGGTGGACTTCTGTGGTATAGTGTTCTCCAGTCTGTGAGTCACCCACCCAGCAGTTATGGGATTTGATTTTATTGTGATTGTGCTCCTCGTACCATCTCATTGTGGCTTCTCTTTTGTCTTTGGATGTAGGGTATCTTTTTTGGTGAGTTCCAGTGTCTTCCCATCAATGACTGTCCATCAGCTAGTTTTGATTCTGGTGTTCTCACGAGAGGGAGTGAGAGCACATCCCTCTACTCCGCCATCTTGGTTCAGGGCCGATCTTTATTTCAATTCTACTGGAGAACTACTTAACTCCCTCTGTTTTCATGAGTAGTTTTGTTAGGGAACCACTGACTGAAACTGCCCACGCTGGATAGGCACGATAACCACTTGCATGACTTATTGTACAATAGGAGATCCTGGTAAGGAACATGGAACTAACAAAGTACCACCAATTGGAAGAATCTGAGAAAGGTCAAAAGGAGAGAGGAGATGCCAGTCCATATGTCCTACCAACCTCCCAGAATCATTCTTGCTGGAATCCATCTTGGCTGAGAGATGTGCACGCCACCAGGAAGAACCATGAGTCAGAATGATTGGCTAGAGACAACCTGGAAACTACCACATCACCATAAAACCTGAGACTGTGAGCCACGTGGCAGAGTACTCCTCCTGGGTTCCCTCTGCTGCTCTCCACCCAGGTGCCTCTTCCCACTAAAGTCTCTTGCTTTGTCAGCACGTGTGTCTCCTTGGACAATACATTTCTGAGTGTTAGATAAGAGCCCACTCTTGGCCCTGGAAGGGGTGTCCCTTCCTGCAACAGTTTCCGTCCTTTGTTATGTATACCTAAAAAAATCAGCAGACTGGGGGCACTCTCCAGTCATTGTGTTAATCAAAATTCCCTTCTCAAATTTCCAAATGCCCCTGTAGAGATGGACATTTGTCTCCAACTGAATACGTCTTCTTAAATAAAAGGGACTGTAATCTATAGAGGCCAGCAAATGGTACTGAGGTTTCTGGGCTAGGAGAGCTTTGAAAGTATTTAAAATCTTTGACATGGTATCCCCATTAGTCCATCCTACTAGTCCAAAAAATGAAAGTCCTCTTGCTGAGTGAAATCACTTGGTTTCTCTAAAATTTCCATTAGAAATAAGCTGGCCCAAGAGAATGACAAAGACAAATTTTTATTATTTATTTATTTATTTGATGGGAAACGGGAAGATATTTTAATGGGGGAAAAAGGAATAAGTGAAGAGACTGTCTGTAAACATTTATCTAGCATAGCATCTAGCACATCCAGAAGTCAACAACGTTTTCTGAGTAGAGTACAGAAGTCCCTGTACTCATGGTAATGGACAATCAATGGGGGGCAATGCATGGCTATCCAGGTATGTATGGTTATTTATTTATTTATTTTATCAAGATCACTATGAGTTGTAGAGACATGACCTTTTTACTATATAAACATCTGGCAAATCAAAGACAAATCAAATCAACTTACGCTTTGTAAACTAACCATTTTAAAGATAATCATTGCTTGAAAGAATCCCTCAATTACATTTTGATGTTTGTAGATATGCAATCAAATTGTAGCTTATGAAGAGAAAAGAAAGCCTTACCAAATAATTGATGACATAAAATCGGTCATATTCTCTGTTCTTAGGATTGATCCTACGATGCTGTTTTTTCCTCATGTGATCTTTAAGTGTATTTTTGTCCCTGAAGGTCTTTTCACAGTACAAGCACTGCAAGCTTCAAGAAAGACACAAATGCTGAGATTAAATAAGTCTCTGAAATAGTTGTTGCATAGCCCTTTATTATTATTATTATTGGGTCTTATAATTTATTCATTTTAGGACTCACAGAATCTTCAAATGGCATATGATACCCTTCTGGAATCCCTTTCATTTTATTCATTTGGCTTTAGAGGATGCATGCTGTGGTTTATTTTGTAGTCGGCTAACTTGGCCAACTTGGCTATTTAGTTAAAACTGTGATATAGATAGCAATTATCCAAAAATGATTTTGGTGCTTTACTAATCGAATTACCTATTCTAAAAATGAAAATGTAGGTATGTTCTTCAAATAAATATATGATAACTAGCTTTGGTTGCCTCCATTGAGTATAACAATTAGTCCATGGTTTGATATATCCTGTGACCTAATTTGCAGGTCTGATTCCTAGCGCCAGCTGTGGGACGTGGTCAAGTTACTTGACGCCTCTGATACCGCTCATTTTCTGCTAACCTGATGATAAAACATACATTTTAGAGAATTTTTACGATAATGTATACATATATGTGCACATAAATTCATAATCATGATAACAATTCACACAAAATATAAATGTATGTATACATGTTTAATTTATTGATATATATACGAATAAAATAGCTAGCACATTCATAGCATACAGTAAGTGCTATTTTTACTATCTTATCATTCGCATGTATCTTCTGCTAGAATATTTCCACTGACTGGGAATTCATTACCTAATGAGGCAGTAATGACCAGTTTTGAACAGATTACTAACAAAATGTCTTTCTCATACTAAGCTTGACAGTTGATACTGCCTGGATTACCCAACAGCCATTAGAGTTCTACTTTCTGGAGTAGCACAGAATAAGTATACATGAAAACTTATTCAAAAACCAAAACTCTGATGTTTTGGTTTGTTTGGCCTCACTGTGTGTTGGGCACTGAACTTGGGTTCGACAACAAAATGACTGAAATCAGTTGTTGTTTCTATTCTGAATTCTTTTTTATCTTTACTAAACACCCTTTCAATTATTTCTTATGCCACAGAAGTAACTATATTCTTTTATAGTAAACAATTTATGGGCAATAAGTTGATTAGGGATATCATTACTGCTAATCTTGCTAGAAAGCACACCTGGTATTATTTTATAAATGAATGGTCATTCAATAAAAGAGTAAAGAGACTTGTTTTAATGTACTGTTGATACCAGAATTTGAATTCAGAACTTTTTATAATGGGTATTTCTTTCTCAATGTTATTGCTCCAAATGTTGTGGTCTGAGATACCACATTCATTAGTATTATATTAAATAAATAAAACTAGGTTTTGAGAGTAAAATCTTGGGCCCTTTCCTAGAAAGAAAAGAGGATAGATTTTTGAAAGCCATTTTGGTGATGTAGAGAATTTCCTTCCCTATTTCTACAAGCTAAACTCTAGATACTCACGGTTGCCAGAATATGACCTTGAGAAAAGTGGAGTGTTATGATATATAAATGTGAATAAATACTAAAAGGTAAAAGAATGCAATCAGTATGTTATGTTTCACATAAAACTGAATAACATCTAGCAATGTGACAATATATTTACTTTACTAAATGTGTAGAAAAATTATAGAGAAAAGTAAAGAAATTATGAATCCGAAATGAAGAATAGTGGTTTCTGGGGGAGATACTAATGAGGATGGGCACACAGCGAGATTCAAAGGAAATAATAACATTCTCTTTCTTAGGCTGGTTAAGTATATTTTTCATACCCTATATAATAACATACCTTATAATGGCATATACATTGTTTGGTATATAAGACATTTATATTTTAAAACTACTAAAAGGCAATATGATCTACAAAAAATAAGGATTGTCATACAAAATGTGAACTCCTCCAACACGAGAAATGAGAAAATTCCATTTCTTGAGTTACTTCTGACTATTAAATTAATTTTTAAAAATTCAAAACAGAATCCAAGATTGAGACAGCTTCAGGTCGTGTTTCATAAAAAAGTACTTACTTGTCAAGCTTTTTCTGTAATGTACACAGAAATTCATTGCAGTTTACAATGTTGTCTGGCAACCCAATGTTGAAAGTGTGTTCTCTGGCCATATGGTTCAAAAGAACAGATCTAGGAAGAAATTTGAGTAATTTGCATTACTTACAACTTATCTAGGAACAAATCAGGTCATGGGTATTGTTTGTATAATGATAACAACACTAATTAGAAGTACAAGCAAAGGTTAATAAACACTGAAACACACATTTGGGCTATGAAATAGTGACATGTTATAAAAAAAGTATGCATATAAGCACTATCATATGAAAAGAAAGTCAACAGAAACTGTTGCTGAGGAAGCCCAAATGTTGGACTTGTCAGACAAAGACTTTAAATCAGACAGTAAGAATATGTGTAAAGAATTAAGGAAAACCATGTCTAAAGAATCAAAAAAAGGTATGAGAATAATATCTTATAAAAAAGAGGATACTAATAAAAAAACAGAAATTAAAAAAAAACATACAAATCTGGAGATGAAATGTACAGTAACTGATATGAAAAATTCACTAGAAGGTCTCAAAAGAAAAACTGAACTGGCAGAACAAAGAACCAATGAACTTGAAGATAAATTTAGATTTTCTAGTCTGTGAAACAGAAGAAAAAAGAATGAAGAAAAATAAATTGAGCCTCAGACACCATCCCATCTACCAACATCTGTATAATAGGATTCCCAAAAGGCAAAGAAAGATAGGGGAAGAAAGAATATTTGAAGAAATAATGGCCAAAAACTTCCCAAATTTGATGGAAAACATTAATCCAAACAGAAGAAGCCCAATAAACTTCAAGTATAATAAATCAGAGAGACCCATACCAAGAAAAAATATGAAGATGAAATCAAGACAGGTCCCAGATAACAAAACCTGAGAAAATTCACTGCTAACAGACCTGCCCAACAAGAAACTAAAAGAAGTCCTTTGGGCTAAAATGAAAGGATGCTAGATAGTAACTCAAACATACATAAAGAAGTAAAAATCTCCAGTAAAAGTAATTACACAGTCAAATATAAAAGGCAGTATTAAATGAATTATTGTTTACAAATCTTTTCTTCCCATATCTGATGTAAAAATAACTGCATGAAGTAACGATTTTAAAGACATGTTAATGAGCTTATAATGTATAAAGATGTAGTTTGTATGAAAACAGTAGCACAAAGGAGTGGGGAAAGAGCTAGCTACGTTGGAGCAAAGTTTTTGTATACTGTTGAAATTACGTTGGTATTAATCTGAACCTAATTGTTTTAAGTTAAAATGTTAGGGGCTTCCCTGGTGGCACAGTGGTTGGGAGTCCGCCTGCCAATGCAGGGGACATGGGTTTGGGCCCTGGTCTGGGAGAATCCCACATGCCATGGAGCAGCTAGGCCCGTGAGCCACACTGCTGAGCCTGCGTTCTAGAGCTTGAGAGCCACAACTACTGAGCCCTTGTGCCACAGCTACTGAGGCTGCACGCCTAGAGCCCGTGCTCCACAACAAGAGGCCACCACAACAAGAGGCCTGCATACCACAATGAAGAGTAGCCCCCGCTCGCTGCAACTAGTAGCCCCCGCTCGCTGCAACTAGAGAAAGCCCATGCGCAGCAACGAAGGCCCAGTGCAGCCAAAAATAAATAAATTTATAAAAAAATAAATAAAATGTTAATTGTAATCTCCAGTGAATTGTAGTGGATAGTGAATGGGCCACTAAGAAAATAACTCAAAAAATATAGTAAAAGAAACAAAGGAATAAAAATGGTACACTAGAAAATATCTATTTAACAAAAAAGAAGGCAGTAATGGAGGGGAGAAATAAAAAAAAGAAACCTAAAACATAAAACAAACAGCAAAATGGTCTAAGTAATCCCATCTCATCAGTAATTACATTAAACATAAATTAGACACTCCAACCAAAAAGCAGAGATTAGCAGAATGGATTAAAAAACATGATCCAACTATATGCTGTTTACAGGAGACACATTTTAGATTAAGATTGAAAGAAATAGCTTCATACATTCCAGAGTCAAAAGTGTATAGGAGAGGGGAGATAGATGTAGGATAGCAAGAAAGTACTTATTCTTCTATCCTTATCATTAACCCATGTCCTTTGTCTTCCTATTCTTTTTATGTCCCTAGGCTGGGAGGACACAAATATAATCCCAAAGTATTGCTAATAACGTACAAAGCTGGAATCAGTTTATATCTTTAATCTTTTATTATAAACTGACCTTTTCATAAACAAGAACTGCAGAAGGGGACATTTTATAAAAATGAGATGCTGCTTATCTTTGTCATTGGTTAATTTCTTAAAAATTTTGTTTATTAGAGAACAATGACATAGTCAATCAAAACTACTGAGGAGTTCACTTAATTCCCATGTCACCCCAGTCAACAGAGAATACAGATACAGGTAGAAAATAACAGGAGGATTATATTAGGAATTATAGGAGCACCAATATTCAGTAAGTTGAAATACCAATATTATCAGAATTTCATATCATATGGACATATACTTCAAATCACATCAGTCCCTACATTTATCATAAAAACTTAAGCTGTATATAAATATAAAATTTTTTATAAAATAAACTTTATATAAATATAAAAATATTTATAGCTTTTTAATACTAGAGATTCCTAATAATAATCACACATCTCCTCACTAGGTTAATAATAGTTTTAACATAAAATCAGAAACAACATGCTAAAAAGAAGTAGCAATGCTTGGTAAACTTTTTGATAGTGAGGTGGTCCTCACTGCCATCCTCATAAAGCCCTTTGAAACTGACAGGGTTAGAGCATAATTAGTGACCTTGGCACAGATTTTTCTCCATGCTAACTGATTCTATATGAGAATCAAATCTTCATCACTGGTGTTTTCAACATTGATGCTTCATCCAAACCCTTTTCTAAATTCAAACAAATAGCTACCCTCTCCTCTTCAATGTTTTTCAGACAACGATGTCAGTTTGTGCTAGGCTTTTCTTTTTTTTTTAGAAACTAAAGACTGCTTTCATTCAAGTGGGTGGGAGAATGATATTTTTCTGATTGTCCATTGTATGCTGTCACTGAAACTATTCCCATTTCCTAGAGGTTACAACTTCATGACTTATATTTAAGTGAATGTACATTTGTAAATATTACTGTTGCATAAAAAGAAATTTGTCTGATCTTTGTCCCTGGTTGCAGGCACTGAGCTTCAAAAATCCTTGGAATTTCTCTATGATCAGATTACCTTTGCTAATAAAGTGACTTGTGGTAGGCCTCTAGAAAGCTTCAGGATGGGGATTGGTTACCAGAAAGACTAACAATGTGATCAAAGGGTTGGGACTTAGAGCCACCCTGACCTCCAGAAAGGAGAGAGGGGCCGGAGATTAAGTTCAATAATTAAATCAATCATGCTTACATAATGAAGCATGTAAAAATTCTGGATACCAAAACTCAGTGAAGATTCTTGGTTGGTAAATACACTGATGTGCCATGAAGATGATATATCCTGATTCTTTAAGGAGAAGGCATAGAAGCTCTGTGTTCAAGACCCATCCAGACCCTGCTCTGTGTCTCTTCATTTAACTGTTCCTCATCTGTATCCTTTATGATAAACACTTTCCTGAGTTTTGTGAGCCATTCTAGTGAATTAATGAACCTATGCAAATTATTGGTGGGTAGCCATGAATTCGTAGCCAGTTGGTCAAAAGTGCAGGTGTCCTGGGGAACCCCTAAACTTGTGGCTGGTGTCTGAAGTGTGGGCAGGCTTGTCGGGGATGATGCCCTTAAACCTGTAGAGTCTGATGCTAACTCTGGGTGGTTAGCATTAGAACTGAATTACAGTACACCAGTTGGTTTTGGGCCAGTTGGGGTTGGTGACAGAATTACCAATTCCCCATTTTTTCCCCCCTTAGATCTTTATCATTTTTAATGTTCAAAAGTGGAACACCAAAAACTGCTAAAGGATTTTTTTTGGTCCACTTGGCTCAGCATTTGGGATCTTAGATCCCCAGCCAGGGATCACACCTGTGGCCCCTGCAGCAGAAGCACAGAGCCTTAACCACTGGACTGCCAGGGAAGTCCCAGCCAAAGGTTTAGCGTTAACAGGTTAATACAGAAGGGCACGTCTGTTGTAGTTTGCTGCACGTGGTCTTGCCTGTCGGACAATTTAAAAAGCCCTACAACATTAAACACAATTCTATTTCTGGCATCTAAAAAATTTATCCCCCTACTCTGCTTAGAGCAACTACATTCCATCTTTGATGTCTGGTGGATTAAAAAAAAATTACTGTGGATATATGAAAGGGTTCTGAGCCAATCCATAGAACTTAGTCTATATAGCCATTGTGGATGTTTTGGTAAGTCTTCAGATGAAAAACAGTAAAATTTAAAGACATACATAATTGCTACCTGTTTCCGAGGAATTCCTCATTGCAAAACATACAACTGCCTTGAAAACTGTTATCATTTCGCTCTTGTTGCTGTTGTTCCAGAATTTCTTTCTGTAAAATAGAAACACAGATATATGATATTATCTTTAATAAATCCATAGTTAGCTAATGAAAAATGTCATAGTCTGGATGGGAGGAAATTGGGGTAGAAGCATAAAAGGAAGTATGTGAACACTGATGATATTTTGAATTTCTCCATTCCTGTCCTTGTACCTAAACTCCAAGTCTATACTGTTAAATGCCAGACAACATACCATTAGGATAGCTATGTAGGAAACTTGAAGTCAATAGGGTCTCACCATCCTTCACTACTCTGTCCTTCCTCTGTCTTTATTAATCATCTCCCAACCTCACTCTCTTCCAAAAGCAAAAATGTGCTCCTTTCTGTAATTCTCAGTTTAGTTTGTAGTCAAGTTCTGATCAATTTTTCACTTGGACTTTCATATTACTTCTCTCCACCATTCCCAATGCCATCACCCTGAATCCAGTCTTTAATCAGTCATTATGAGATTACTATAAGTAAGTCTCTTAGAGGGTCTGCCTTATTTCAATCCTTTTTTTCTATCATATCCATCCTCTCTTTTGTTGCTAGAAAAACTTCTTAAAATTATTTTCATGTACAATTATCCTGTTACTCTCCAACTCTAATAATTTAAAATTTACATTGGTAACACCCTCTTCTAATCATGGTGGTTCTTCTACACATTGTTTTTCCATGAGGTAATTTTATTTCTCTTTGCTTTTTCACTCTTATAAATATTAACTGTTCTTTAAGGTCCAACTTGATCCCCATTTCTGCCATGTAGTCATTTCTGGACTACAATAGTTACGAGCTCAGACTCTGAAACATCAAATAGAACTAGATTTGAATCTGGCTCTCACCTGTACTCAATATTTTATTTAACATCTTTAATACTCAATTTTCTCAATTTTAAGATGAAAATGAAAATATTACCTCATAGCATTGTTTATAGGATTAAATCAGAAATTTATGTACAGAATTCAAATTGTGCATGTGTATGGTCAAGCCACTCAAGATGGCTGTTCTCTTGCTCTCTGTACATCCCCTGACCAACCAGTGCCTGCTTCACCTATACCCTATGCACATGACTGACCTTCTTGTGTACTTGCCCCAGGCCCCAGCTAGTGATTGTTCTCATCAAAGGGGCGCTGAGGTGTGTGCCTCTCTACTGGTTTCCCTGGTAACTAATGAGCTCACCTGATGTCAATTCCCCAATAACTGGTAACTTGCTTTACCGTCATCTCTTTTGCTTGCTTTTATCTTCTAAATGGATATGAAAACTCTTTGAAATTAAAAGAAAGTCTTTATGCTGTTCTTATTTTACACCTGCATATGACTCTCCAGCTATTCTTATAACATGAAGCTCAAAACACGAACTCCATAAACTTTATTGCTGATTCTGTAAATATCTGTAGGACAGCATAAAAAATGAGCTTGTATCTAGAAGCTTAACAAATTCCATGTGGCATTTCTGGAAATGTATCACCAAACATTTAGAATTATTAATCCACTGAAGAAAAAAATTAAGAAGCTGCCAGGATAAAAATCAATTCAATCAACTTCTGGTTTCAGCCATGATGAAATAATGGATATAACACTTCTCCTCCCCTTGTAAACTACTGTAAAACAAATTGCTTCATATATCTTACCTTTTTTCAGAAAATGTATAATAGGGACTTCGCTGGTGGCTCAGTGGTTAAGAATCCGCCTGTCAGTGCAGGGGACAAAGGTTCGAGCCCTGGTCCAGGAAGATCCCACATGCCGTGGAGCAGCTAAGCCCGTGCGCCACAACTACTGAGCCTGCGCTCTAGAACCCGCGAGTGACAACTACTGAGCCTACGTGCCACAACTACTGAAGCCTGTGTGCCTAAAGTCTGTGCTCCGCAACAAGAGAATGCACCACAGTGAGAAGCCCACACACGACGAAGAGTAGACCCCGCTCACCGCAACTAGAGAAAGCCCACGCGTAGCAACGAAGACCCAACACAGCCTCCCCCCTCCACCACACAAAAAGAAAATGGACAATAGCACATGGCTGTGATTGATGAGTAAAAAAAAATAATACATTGCCAGTTTTCTGTTGGGTAGTGTTTTCCAAATTGCAACATAGGGAAGTTAAACCCAAATGAAGGTTATGTATCTACCTCACTTGGTGTAGAAGGAAAAAAAGACTGGCATTCAGGATACAAAAGCAAGGGGAATTTGTGGGACAAGGTACTAGAAAGAAGAGAGCTGCAGAGGAGGAGCTCAAGAAACCTGGACTGGGATTCTTTTTACCTTGGTCCAAATACTGAGCTGTACATGTATAGGGCAGAATCTGTGAGACTTTACAAAGGAGTTGCCAGGGTCTGTGAAGATTCTGGAAATTACAGCACTGGAATATGTTGGAGCTTTGACATATAGAATGGAGACACCTTGCTCAACACTTCAGGCACACAGCAAATATAAAAGAACACTGTTTACTTCATGAAGTTTAGGGCTTTATGCTGGCAGCAAGTGGATAGATAAAAGCAAAAGAAATAAAGGGAGTAAGGTTGATGTATCAGACAATTTTAATTATTGCTTTTTTTTTTTTTGCAGTACGCGGGCCTCTCACTGTTGTGGCCTCTCCCGTTGTGGAGCACAGGCTCCGGATGCGCAGGCTCAGCGGCCATGGCTCACGGGCCTAGCCGCTCCGCGGCATGCGGGATCTTCCCGGACCGGGGCATGAACCTGTGTCCCCTGCATCGGCAGGCGGACTCTCAACCACTGCGCCACCAGGGATTATTGCTTTTTAAGTGAATCTTACATAAAAACTGAAAGTGACAGTAAAAGTCAAATTAAAGGAAAACCGAACTTTTACAAACGTATATATAGTTCGACTAAAAAAGAAAACACGCTTCAGGGCCCTATATTTACAACTTTGGTAGCAGCAAAACCAAAAACCCAATAAAGCTCTTGACAAAGATCACTATAAACATCCCACAGTAAGGCTGAGCAATACTTTCTCTGTCTGCTCCTGTTTTCAGCCTACAAGACCTGTTAATGCTTATTAAAAATCATCATCTCATATTTCTCAGGCTGGTGATGATATAACCCAAAGTTGGCTAAAGAAAAATCTTATTCAACTTAATATTTCCTCGGTTTTGACTCAGCACAAATATAACAGATTTGTGAGTCTAAACCAGAGTGATACTGAGCCATCTACAGTTTTCTTTGGCCAAATTTAAGTTTTATCAGTTGACCCTGAATTGCACAACCTGAGTGTAGACACCTGAAGTTGTGTATAAATTGATTCTTCTTAGGAGAGCCTAATTTACATTTTGGTGAATTAGAAGGAGCATGGAGTAGACAGGGCACTAAAGCAAGAAGCCACTTTTTTTTAAAAAAAATTAATTTATTTTTGGCTGTGTGCAGGCTTTCTCTAGTTGCAGCGAGCAGGGGCTACTCTTCGCTGTGGTGTGTGGGCTTCTCATTGCGGTGGCTTCTCTTGTTACGGAGCACAGGCTCTAGGCGTGAAGCCTTCAGTAGCTGTGGCACGTGGGCTCATAGAGCGCAGGTTCAGTAGTTGTGGCTCATGGGCTTAGTTGCTCCGTGGCATGTGGGATCTTCCCGGACCAGGGCTCGAACCTGTGTCCCCTGCATTGGCAGGCGGATTTCTAACCACCGCGCCACCAGGGAAGTCCCCAAGAAGCCACTTTTTAATGGCAAGTAACTAAAACCACGCTGTTCTTTTGTTCGCATTCTGGAGGTTGTCTCACATGGTGATGAGGTGGCACTGTGAATTCTCTGCTAGTTTATCTGCACTACCTAGAGACAAGGGCTCTAGAGTACCTGTGTCGTCCCTAATCTGGCAGGTTCCATACAACTCCTTTCATTTTTATCTAAGTTCATTCTTTCACGATCTCCCTTCTGTTCACTGCACAAACTCTTTTTAAACTCTTTCCCAGACCTTCTGCCAAGGGGAGCTACTTAAACCATTTGTTGTTTCACCTCTGCTTTCTGTTTATTTCATTTGCATAAGACTTTTCTCATTTTAATAACATCAATGTAAGAAAGAGTTCTATAATTGGGAAAAATGGACATGGCCACCAGGCAGTTCAGCTTTGGATTCTCTGCTGCAACTGTTCAGCTCCAACTTGTATTCTTGCCATATTTGACTCTTGTCGTTGCAATAACATGAATACTCTACCTATTCCTTCTTGGCTATTTTCCTGTCTCCCCATTAACATATTCTATTTCTACTAACCACATCTAACCTCTCCAGTAAGATTTCCTTCTGACCAATGCTGCTCAGTACTGGCATTTTAGAATTTGAGAACTGAAAGGGACCTCATGAAACTACGGACTAACTCCCTACAAAGAGATGTTAGGGTGACCTGTTTAAAGCTACAAAGCTACTTGGTGCCATATCCGGACACCACATTTGCTTTTTTTTCCTCAGAACGTACCCACTGTAGCATATCTAGACACATAGCATATAACAATAACCTTTCTATTTAGTGAACAAACAAGTTCAGAATCCAGGGGATAGATATCTGGAAAGGTAGGGCAACATAAAAATTTTTCTTACAAAATATCCACGCAAAAACTTCATTTAGATGTCTTAGATGGATTACTTCTCAGCATTTGAGGCTTTAGAACACAGTAAAATAACAGGAGAGATAATATATACAAATGTGATCATGCCTTATTTCTGACAATTATAAAAAGAGGTATACTAAGTTGATTTTCTTGATCGTAGAAATTTTAATTTGGTATTTAAAGGGTTAATAGTTTTACACAAAATGGTTTCCAAGACACCTCTCATGTTTTCCCTACTTTCAAAACTTGAGATATGATTTAACCTTTTCTGTATGATGTAGGGTCCTTGCTATGAACAATTACTACTATATTGTGCTATAACGTATCAATTTACTTTCAGGATCTCTTTGTCCCTACAAATGACTCTAAACTGTTGTGCTCTTCTGGTTGGCCTTCCTTCTCACTCTTTTATGGTCACCGCTGTCAGTGAGTCTACTTCTGCACCCACCAACTGGCTCTGCCATCT